AGAGGTATAAGAAAAATGATAAAAAGGTATTTCATAGAAAAGAGTTTGGCCGGGCGATGGTGGCGCACGCCTTTAATCCCAGCACTCGGGAGGCAGAGCCAGGCGGATCTCTGTGAGTTCGAGGCCAGTCTGGTCTCCAAAGCGAGTTCCAGGAAAGGCGCAAAGCTACACAGAGAATGCCTGTCTTGAAAAACCAAAATAAATAAATAAATAAATAAATAAATAAATAAATATAAAAAATAAAAAAAAATGTGTGTGTAGAACATGAAAATAGAAAGAGACTATGAAAAGGGAGGAAGAGATCTTTAATTTTTATTTTATTTTTTATTTTTTTGGTTTTTTGAGACAGGGTTTCTCTGTGTAGTTTTGGTGCCTGTTCTGGATCTCACTCTGTAGACCAGGCTGGCCTCAAACTCACAGAGATCCTCCTGGCTCTGCCTCCCGAGTGCTGAGATTAAAGGCGTGCGCTACCACCACCCGGCAAGAGATCATTTCAAAATGTGTATTATCATATATTAGTCATACATAAATGGATTGCTTTGTTACATTTTCATCTTGTACTTAATGTATTTTGATCACATTCTCTGCCCATACACTCTGTTATCCTCTCTTGTCCCCCCTCACTCCTAAGCCTTTTCATCTCCCCAGCTATGCCCCCCACCTCCACTTTCATGTCTTTTTTATTTTTTTAACCCAGTGAGTTTCCTTAGGGTTGTTTACAGGGGCATTGGTAGTTTACTATGGTCTGCACACTGAAGAAAATTCTCTCTTCCCCATCAATCATTAACTGCAGATAACTCTTCAGGGTGGGACCCCATGTGACAGAGAGTTGGCCTACTCAATCTTGTGTAGATCCTGTACAAGTAATATAGCGTGTGTGGGTTCACGAGTACAGCACCCAAGTCACACTCAGAAATCAGCGTCCACACCTCCTCAACCCCCTCCCCATGGCGCACATATTCTTGCTGTCCCTCCTTTGGTGAGGTTCCCTGTCTTTGTGATGGGGTGGTGAGTGGCGGTACAGGTGTCCCGTTTATTACTGAGCACTCAGCAGTCATTTCTTCTCAGTACTTTGACCAGCCGTCTCCACAGTCACTGCCTACCACTGCAGAAAGCTGTCTGATCAAAACTGAAAGCACCAGTAGTCTATGGGCATAAAGTTATTTAGAAGGCAATTAGACAGGTACATCACGTTCATTGAGCAAAACCACAGCAGTAGGTGCCTTCCAAGTGCCCGTGACCTCTCCAGCCAGAGCTTTTAACCAGATTTACTGTACTGCTCATGGCAAAGAAAGCAGAAAGCTGCTGGTTACCCACCTAACAGCCATGCTGCTATTGCACCGTGAGCTCATATTGCCCATCCAGGAGGTATCATTGCACACAGTGTCCACAGCTAAATGACAGTGCTGAGGACAGTCCTCCCCCAGCAGCCTGCAGAGCACCATTCAGCACTGTGAGGTTTAAGCCAACAGGAAGGAAGCTTTCGCCACCAGCCTGATATCTGTATGTCCTGCAATCAAAGTGTGTGGCACGTTTGGCAACAAAGTCTTAGTTCTGGTGCACAGCCAGCAGCAGTGGTAACTGCTTGTGTGTGTGTGTGTGTGTGTGTGTGTGTGTGTGTGTGTGTTTAGGGTCAGAGGCCTTCCTGGCCAACAACTCATAGGGGGTAGCCTGCCTCTGGCATTGGAATTTTCATTTAATAACCTATGGTTTCTAACGGCAGCTTTATTCACCCAGGTAGTTATATCTGTTTAAATTATTTTATTACTTGATTTCCTTATGGCTTTTTCATACATTGTTGGTTTTTATTTTATTGATTTAAAACGTTTATTTTTGAAATATGGTGGCATATGCCTTTAATCTCAGCATCAGGAGACAGAGGCAGGCAGATCTCTGTGAGTTTGAGGCCAGCCTAGTCTACACAGTAAGATTCTGTCTCAAAAAAAGAAAACAAATAACTAAATAAATAAAAATAAATAAGTTATTTTGCTTGTGTTAAAAATACTTTATTTAATTGTATGTTTTATGGATATTTTACCCACACGTGTATGTCTGTATGCATACCATATGCACTCCTGGTACCCACAGAGGCCAGAGATGGCATTGGATCTCCTGGAACAAGAGTTGCAGGTGGTTGTGAGATGGATGTGGGTGCAGGGAATTGAACCTGAGTCCTCTGGAAAAGCAACCAATGCTCTTAACTGCTGAGCCACCTCTCTAGAGCATACATGTCACTTTTGTTTGGTTCTCTCCCCCCCACCCCCTCTCCTTCCCAGTCCCTGCCGAAGCATTCCCCCTCCCAACATTCCCACGAGGTGCATGCTCCTTCCCACTCCCTGGAGACCCTTTTCTCCCTTTCATGGCTCCTGTCTCTACACACTCATGCCCACATAAATGAGAGTGAAAAGCTGGGGTCTGCACATGAGAGAGAACATGGGATATCTGCTTTTTGAGTTTGAACTACCTCACTTAATACAATATTTTCCAGTTCCATTTTCCTGCAGATTTCACAATTTTGTTTTTCTTTGCAATTGAATAAAACTCCATTTGTAGCTGTACTACATTTTCACTACCCATTCATCAGCTGGTAGGCATCCAGGCTGGTTTCATTTCCTTGCTATTGTGAATGCAGCAACATTAAACATGTATGTACAAGTGTCTGTGTGGCAGGAAATCCAGTCTTCTGGGTATATGCCCAGGAGCAGTATAACTGAGTCATAAACAAATTCTATTTTTCATTTTTTTAGAAACCTCCACACTGATTTCCACAGTGGCTGCACCAGCTTACACTCCAGCCAGCAGTGTTAAGAGCTCCCCTCCCCACATTCTTGCCAGCTTTTGTTGTTGTGTTCTTGAAGAGAAGCATTCCGACTGGCTGAGATGTGTTGTTGTTCTTGCTCTTTTGGGGGCCCTGCCACCCAGCTCCCAGAGAAATCACACACAGAGGCTTATTCTTACTTATAAATGCCCAGCCTTAGCTTGGCTTGTTTATAGCCAGATTTTCTTAAATTATCTCATCCATCTTGGGCCTTGGGGCTTTTATCCTTCTCTTACTTCTGTATACCTTTTCTTTCCTTCTCACTCCATGTCTGGCTGGGTGGCTGGGTGGCTAGCCCCTGAAGTCCTCCTCTCCTCTCTCGTTCCTTCTTCCTCCTCCCAGATTTCTCCTTCTATTAACCCTCTCTGCATACCAGCCCTGCCTATCCTTTCTCCTGTCTTGCTATTGGCTGTTCAGTTCTTTATTATACCATCAGGTGTTTTTTTGTTTGTTTGTTTTTAAAGATTTATTTATTTATTTATTATGTATACAGCATGTATGCCTGCAGGCCAGAAGAGGGCACCAGATCTCATTGCAGATGGTTGTGAGCCACCATGTGGTTGCTGGGAACTGAACTCAGGACCTCTGGAAGAGCAATCAATGCTCTTAACCTCTGAGCCATCTCTCCAGCCCCCATCAGGTGTTTTAAACAGGCACAGTAACACAGCTTCACAGAGTTAAACAAATGCAACATAAACAAAAGTAACACACCTTAAAATAATATTCCCCAACAGAGATGGAATTGCACAGCAGTTTTTATTTACATTTTCTTCATATCTAAGGATGTTGAACATGTTTAAAAATATTTACTGGCCATTTGTGTCTTTTGAGAACACTCTGTTCAGCTCCTTAGTCAACTTTTTGACTGGGTTATTGTTTCCTAGTTGTTTAGTGTTTTGGGTTCTTTGGTATTCCGGATATTACGTCTTCCATCAGACAAGATTGTCTCCCATCCTGTAGGCTGTCTCTTCACTCTTTCTTTGCTGTACAAAAGTTTTTAATCTCATGAGATTTCATTTATTGGTTGTTGGCTTTATTTGCTGGACAGCTAGGGTCCTACTCAGAATTACTTTACTGTATATCTTTTTAAAATTCTGTATTTATTATTAGTATATGTGTTGTGATATGTGTGTGCATGGGTATGAATGACACATAAGGCATGTGGAGGTCAGAGGAAAACTTTTATGGAGTTGGTTCTCTCTTAGGATCAAACTCAGGTCACCAGGTTTATGTGGAAAGGCTATCATTAAGCCATCTCACCAGCCCCTGATTCAGATCTATATCTTGAACTATTTTTCTATTTTTTTAATCAGATAATTTCAGAGTTTTGGGTCTTATGTATTCTACTGATTTCCAATCCCTACAGAATCTTTTTTCCCTTCTCATTGTCCCTGTCTAGTACCTGAACTCTACACACACTCACTCTCACATAAATGCACATGTACCAGTTAAAAGCTGGAATCTACATCTGAGAGAGAGCACATGGTATTTGTCTTTCTGAGTTTGAAATACCTCACATAGTACAACATAAGTCTTTGATTCATTTGGAGTTGATTTTTGTATGGGGCAAGAGATAAGGATCTGGTTTCATTTTTCTACATATAGGTATTAGTTTTTCCAGCACTATTTGTGAATGTGTATATATTGGTAGCTTTGTAAAAACTCAGGTGGCTATATCTGTTTTGGATTATTTCTAGATCCTCTACTTTACTCCATTAGTCTGTGTGTCTTGCTGTTTTGTTTTGTTTGTTATGGCTCTATAGTATAACTTGAAATCAGGAATACTGATACCTCCAGCATGAGTCTTTTTGCTCAAGACTGCTTGGGATATTGGGATCTTTCATGCTAAAGGAAGAAATCTTTAAAAAGTGAGGAAAAGAGAGGATAAGGTAGCATGAAAACAGAATAGAAGATTATTTGGGAGAGGAAGGAGACCAACAAAAAGGGAGATGGGGGTGGGAGAAGGCAGCAGGGGAAAGGATGAATGGACACAGAGTATAACAGCTGGGTATAAAAATGCCACAATGAAACCCATCACTATGTATACTAACTTAAAATACTAATTAAAAATAAAGTATGAAAGAAATAAAAGTGAATCAATTGTGTATGTCAGGATTAAGGATGCTTTCAATTATATTACTTTAATTAAGAAAAAAACACAACAAAATCCAACAATTTGTTCAACAGAGTTACCAACTACCTACAAAGTACAAAGCCATAAGTTAGGGATTGGGTTCGCTATATAAGGGAGCCAGAATATGGTGCAAGACCTGCAGCAGCTACTAAAGCATCTCAGAACTAAACAGGTAGACATGAATATTACTTAAAAATAAAACATTTTAAATTAACTTGCTTAGTGCAGAGTAACAAAATGAAGTTCTAAAAGGAAAATTATTTTCTGGGTCAGTAAGAGATAAGGTTTCAAAATGTCTTTGTTCCTTTGGAATACCCTCACTCCATTAAAATAAAAACTTTGTTAGTTTATCTATTGACTAATAAGGAATTCCACCTCACCTTAATTCTATCACACCACATTTTTTCTCTTATTCTAAACCCCTAAAATATAAATTTTTAGCTGGGAAAATATCTAATAATATTTATATCTATTTTCCTCAAATACAGAGAAATCTGGGGTGACTGTCCAGGCAGCCAGCTGTTTCTGTCATTTCTCTTATTTTTTGGAAGTCACCTGCTTGCACTTCCTGCTTACTTGGATAATATTATTTCCTTCTCGGGTCTCTAAGGGAGTTGAAGATTAGATAGTTATAGTTATAGTTTTCCTTGTTGACAAATTCAGAAAAGAAGCTCACTAAAGATGTGTAAAGTGTATAAGTTTGAAAGACATCAAAAGATAGTTTTCAGTTGGTAAGACAAGTTAGGATAGAAAGTGAATTAGGTACAACATTTTGGACTCACCAAAATGGGATAAATAATGGAGTATTTTCTCTGAATCTGTCAAATGTTAATGAATTGGGCATTGTTAATGTAATTCTTGACTGTATATATTATATATACTTATTGTACTTATTGTATATAGTTTTTCTTACATTAGTTATATAACTTTTTATTATTTTAGACAAAAAAAGGGAAATGTGATATATTGTGTACCCTAATAAACTTGCCTGAGGATCAGAGGACAGAGCCAGCCACTAGATTAGACATGGTGGCACACACCTTTAATCCCAGCACTTGAGATCTCATGCCTTTGCTTAGGAAGCACACACACCTTTAATCCCAGAAAGTAATATGGCAGGGCAGATAAAGGTATATAAGGTGTGAGGACACAGAAACTCAGAGGATTTTGTAGAGGTAAGAACTAGTGGCTGGCTGCTCTGCTTCTCTGATCTTTCAGCTTTCACTCTGATATCTGGCTCTGGGTTTATTATTAAAAGACCATCTAAGACTTGAACAACAGGAAGGAACTAGAAATAAATAAGAAACTGGACTAGATGGATGGCTAGCAGTTAGTAGAGTTCAATTCTTAGCATTCACATCAGTTGACTCACAACTGCCTATAACTCCAACATCGAAGGGGATCTGAAGCCTCGGGCCTCTATGGGTACCTGCTTGATCATGTGTATACACACACACACACACACACACACACACACACACACACACACACTTAAAAAGAAATCTTTTTTTTAGAAAGTAAAACTTTCTTAGATGCTACTATATCTTTTACCTAAAAGCTAAGCATCTGTAAGTAGTGTCTTATTAGAACTTCATAGTTTTTTAAATTAAAATGTAATTATATCATCCCCCCATTCTCTTTCCTTCCTCTAACCACACCACTCCTTCTCAAATTCCTGGCCTCTTTCATTGTTATTGTTTTACACACACACACACACACACACACACACACACACACACACACACACAACCGACTGAGTCCAGTTAGTGCTGCTTATGTATATGATGTCAGGGATGACCTCTTGTTATTGGAGGACTAATCAATTAGGAGACTTGTCCTCAGGGGGAGGACTACTTCTCAGGATCTCCTCATTTCTTAGTTGTTGTCTAGGGATGGGGCCTCATGAGATTTCCCCCTTCCATGTTAGTATGTCTGTTGGTTTGTCCTTGTTCAGGTCTTGTCTAGGCAGCCACATGGCACATTGAGGTGCCATGGGTACAGTTTCCCTGCCATTCCTAGGAGACACAATCTCACAGTAGACGTCCTGGTCCTCTGACCATTACACTCTTTCTGCCCTTTTGCCCGTGATGGTCCCCAAACATTGGGTGCAAGAGTTGTGTTGTAGATGCAGCCACGGGGCTGGGCATCCTATGACCGGTTGCAGAAGTACATAATTTTTTTTTTAAAGTATGCATCAGCTCTCAAAAGTTTGCTCTACTGTAAAATCTAAAGGTATTATAGGAACTTTGTGAGAAAATGAAACCGCAAAACCCCACTAGCTATAAGCCATTTCCTGATGAGACCACTCAAGCAAGCAGAAATCAAACTGAAGGAGGAAACAACAAAAACGTGTTTAATTTTGACAAATCCACTTAATTTCCACACTTTTATAGATGCTGAATGGCAAGAGGGCATAGGGCTACTGGATGAAAACAGTGTTGATTCATTTCTATTTTGTAGGAAGGTTAAGAGCTGGGGCGGGGAGCCAAGGTCAGCAAGTATCTAAAAGAGTTTATGAATTTGTCACAAAATACTTAAACCAGTGTGTCATAAACCCTAAGTGAACAGAACAATTCCATGCAATAAAAGACTCACAGGCGCAGTGAAAACCATCAAGAATGAGGCCTGGGGTTCGTAGGTGAGCCCCTGGAGAAGGGAAGAGTCACGCTCACTATGGCCCCTCCTTCTTGAGTTCAAAGGAAGAAGACAGCACAGAAACTCCACCGACAGTCACCTGTTCCAAGAGAGGGATCTGCCGGTTTACAGGAAAAACTTCAGTGTCATGGAGATTAGGAAGTACATCACACACACACACACACACACACACACACACACACCATTCAGGAATGATCATTTGGACAGGATAAAACAGTCCATAAGAAAACCAAGTACTCCAGGTGGTGGTGGCGCACACCTTTAATCCCAGCACTCTGGAGGCAGAGCCAGGTGGATCTCTGTGAGTTCGAGGCCAGCCTGGTCTACAGAGCGAGATTCAGGACAGGCACCAAAATGACACAGAGAAACCCTGTCTCAAAACAAACAAAAAAAGAAAAAGAAAAAGAAAAAGAAAAAGAAAATCAAATACAGCAGGGTTGCAGTGGCTCTTTAATTCCAGCGCTCCAGAGGCAGAGGCAGGCAGATCTCTGAGTTTGACGCCAGCCTGGTCTACAGAGTGAGATCCATGACAGCCAGGACTACACAGAGAAGAAAACTTGTCTTGAAAAGAAAAAGAAAGAAAGAACAGAAAAGAAAAGCAAGTACTCTAGCTTCTCAGAGCAACCTTCTCTCTTTGAGGGGCCATGATTTTACCTTGGAAAACTCACCCACCCAATTTTAGCTTTCATTTTATTATTCATGTCTTTTCCTGGACCAGTGATTCAACATGGACTGTGTGTTGTGTTATACAGTCCTTAGTAATCATTCTTTTGGTCACCAGGTTCTATTGCTCCTGCTTCTTCCTCCTTAATGTCTTTTTTTGTTTTTATAGACAGGGTTTCTCTGTGTAACAGCCCTGGCTGTGCTGGAACTCACTTTGTAGCCCAGGCTAGCCTCGAACTCACAGAGATCCACCTGGCTCTGCCTCCCCAGTGCTGGGATTAAAGGCGTGTGCCATCACTGCCCATGGGGCTCCTTAATGTCTTTTTTTTTATTTCTGTGTTAACCACCATTCCCAGTTTCTAATCCATTCTCTTGCACTGATGAATTCTTAGATTATCTTCTTGCCTGTATCTCTCTCCCATTCTAGCACGTGGCAGTAAATGCCAGACTGAAATGGTTGAAATGTTGTTTTAATGGCACAGAACCAAAATACAGGGCCGAGGAGATGACTTATTGTGCTGGTAAAGTGCTTGCTGCACAGACATGAGGGCCTGTGTTTGGATCTCCAGCACCCACATAAAAGCTGGATGCTGTGATCTGTGCCTGTAATCCTAGCACTGGGGAGGTGAGACAGAGGGATCCCTAGTACTCACCTGCCAGCTAGTCTAGCTGAGTTGGTGAACTCCAGGGTCAGTGAGAGACCCTGTCTCAAAGAATGGTGCGGAAGGTGATAGATAGAAGAGTATGCCTGAGGTCAACTTCTGTGCATGAATGCATGCATGTGCATGCACCACACACCACAATCTTTATTAAAGAATGAAAAAATGAGTAGGCTATGGGAACAAATCTAGATTGCTTAGCTTGTCAGTATCAGCTGCCCTCTTCATCGACTGGCCTCACCCAACACTACCCAACCACATCACCCACAGACTGTTCCATTCCACCACCACCTCTTGTTGTTTTTACCTGTACCCCCAATTTTCACCAATAAAAATAAAGCCATCACACCTACTTACTTTTTTTTTCAGAACTCTTTCCTGCACCATTTCACCGCTGTCTTCTGAGTCTGAGTCCCTGTAATAGAATTACCTTCAGCTACATAAATTTTCTGAGTTTCTTTATATTTTTTATTCCTAAGTTTGAGAGTTTATTCCAAAGAGAACACATAAAACATGCCCTGTACTTTTAACTTATCAAAGGCAAGGACACTGCTATGCATTTGAAAACTCAGTGTTTAACATGGTTTTGAGTATACCTGCAATTCTGGGTGATAAAGTATGTTCTATGATGTGGTGAGAAATCCACTCTGACGTGGGTATCTAGGGCACCAGTGCCTCAGCTCTGTTGCCTGGCACAGTCTATACTTCTGCTTTCTGGGCATGCATTTTCACTGTGCCAGAAGATGGGCCTTCCCTACACGGAGGCCCTGGGAACCAAGCAAACAGTGAGTTCCTCACTGAGAGCCGCTGCCCAAGCAGCAGGGCTACTGTTGCAGAGAGAGCCATGCCCCTACTAAAGTTCAGAGTCCAGCTCAAAGAGGCCACAGTAGACACAAAGACAACCTTTTGACCTCAGGGACAGACTGGTAAATAGATGCAGGAGAACCTTCTAAAATCCCTCAGATGAAGCATGTCTGACTTGTCGTGTTTTCACATCATCCATGGTGGGACAATCCCTTAATCTGTTTCTTGTTTCTACAGCATTCTGGGACCTCATCAAGCTCTTCAGTTACTACTGCATACTTTCAGTCAGTGACCTTCCTCCACAGACTTTCAGTTAGTTACCTTCCCCCACAGACTCTACAGAGTCTGGTTTACCTTTGGTTTCAGAATACCGGTAGGCAAAGGTCAGCTGGTAAGTTCTTGTAGTTGAAGCAATTTACCCTTCTTTCTTTAAAAAAAAAAAAAGAGAGAGAGAGAGAGAGAGAGAGAGATAAGTGTTCTTCATGTAGTTTGGTTTAAAGATGTTTGAATGTAAAGCCTCATGTCAATCACTTATTCATTTGATAAATATTTATACTCTCCCTACAGATGCAAAAGAATTTAAAGAGATGCTAGGAACAGGTACAACAGCTACAGAAGTTAAGAATTCGTTCAACTAGGGATGATAAACACAGAGATAGCTATGACTTGATTATTCATGATAAGAATCACAAAAGCAATAGAAACAAAAAGTTTCTAGGAAAAAGTTAAGAAGCTGGCCATAGTGGTAAATCCCTGTGCTTAGAACACTGAGGAGGCTGAAGCAGAAGGATCATGAGTTCCAGGCCAGCCTGAGCTACATAGGGAGTTCAAGGCCAGAGTTCATGGATATGTACTTGGGAAGAATAGGTATAAATTATATTTAGGAATTCCTTTTTTTTCCATGTACTGATTTGCATCTGTAAGGGACAGACTTAAGAAAAAAACATCAAGTTAGAACGTTAGGAACTAATTCCAACTCACAGGAGTTTTAAATTGTACACAGCTCTTAAACTATCCCAGGCAACAGGTTAAGCTCTTTTCAAAATATATTATTTCATTTATTTTTTTCAACAACCTTGTGGCTCCTAATGATCTATTTTATAGAAGTGGAAATCAAAGCACAGAGGAATTAGGTCATTTGCCCAATATCACATCATTGTTAAAATCAGGCAATCTGAATGATTTCTGCCTAAGGGGTAAAAAAAAAACAAAAAAAACATAAAGTTCATCATCTGGAATCTGTAGTAACGTAAGAGTCAAAGGAGAATATCAGACATCTTAAATATTAGCAGAAGAGCTAACCTCTACTAAAGAGTAATAAGAAACTGCATTTCCGGATTATTAACCTATTGCTATTTGTCTAGGGAAACAGGAAATCAGCATAGTTTTGTAAAGTAAAAATATATTACCAGCACCATGTGTTCATTTTCCTACAAATGGCTAGCCAAGGGAGGAAGTGGTCAGCCTTGTTCAACTTCAGCCAAGTTACCAGTGCTTTATTTCTTAGTAAAAGGTAAGTGTGCTCTTTGGAATCCACCTTGATTACCGTCTTCTAATTTGTTAGATTATTAAAAACACTGAGATACACAGATCATAGAAAACATAAGCTTTGCTTCATGTCGCTATTACTTGTAAGACTAATAAAATACACGCTATCAACTGCTCAGGAGAAATTTCTGATTGGCTAACGACTTCTGAGAAAGCATGGACTGTACAAGAAACAACTCTTCAAAACTAAGTTTTGAAAAAAGGAGTTAAGTGTGAGAAGGCTCCGTGGGTAGAGGTGCTGGCCTTACCTCCAGGCATGACCACCAATCCTGGAATTTGCATGGTAGGAGAGAACTCACTCCTGCACAAGTTGTCCTTTGGCTTCCACATGTGTGCCATGGCATGTGCCCACACCCCATAAATAAATATAATTTTAAAAAGTTAAAGGCTTTAGTATCTTTAAACCTAAACCCTATCTATTACTGTTTTACAGAAATTGTCAACATTATAATAGATTTTTAAATGCTCAATTTTGCTTTAGAGCAGGGATCAGTAACTGTCCACAGAAGGCCAGGTAACAAATATTTTAGATTTGATGGGCCATATGGTGTGTGCTATAATGATATTCAACTCTGCTGTTGCAGTATGAAGACAGCTATGAATATGTGATTATTGATGAGTATTGCAACATTCCAGTAAAACTTTAATTACAAAAACAGAAAGCAGGGGCTAAAGAGATGGTTCAGTGGATAAAGGTGCTTGATGTGAATGAGTAAGACCTGAGTTCAAATCCCAAGAACCATGTAAAAGCCAGGCAATAGACGTAAGTGCCTGTAACCCCATCATTGGGGGACCAAGATGGGTAGATCCCTGGAGGCTGCAGACTAGTCAGCCTAGAGGAAACCACAAGCTTCAGGTTGAGTGAGAGGTCCTGTCTCAAAAAGTAAGGTGGAGAGGGATCAAAGACACTCAGCCTCAGCCTCTAACCTCCACTTGTGTGTCCAGGGGCATACATGCAGTGCACCACCACACACACATCAAAGGACAGACAGCAGTCCAGATGTTCTAAAGTGATGTTCTCAGACTGTATGTATCAGACTCACCTGTGAAATTGAAAATGTGGGGTTCTATGGCCCTAGCTACCCTTAGGAAATTGGTCTCTAAGAATGGGTTCTAGCAATGAGCAATTCACTGAGGTTCATGAGTGGTGTATAAACCATACTTCAGAAAGTTCTGTAGTATTATTGTGGATATTCACCAGAGAAGACTGCTTGGACATGGGTTTAAGCCAATAGGAAGTCTTCATTAAGCTGGGCAGTGGTAGTGCACAGCTTTAATCCCAGCACTCAGGAGGCAGAAGCAGTCGGATCTCTGTGAGTTAGAGGCCAACCTGGTCTACAGAGCTAGTTCCAGGACAGCTAGAGCTACACAAAGAAACCCTGTCTTGAAAAAAACAAAAAAGAAAAAGAAAGTCTTTGTTAGCTGGTCAGTGACTGCATTGGGTGTTTGGGTGCAGGAAATCATGATGATGGCCTGTCTAGCTGCCTCGAGAGACATGCTTCATAGATTTTTCAGGTTAGAGTCTGTGACTCCTGGGGCACTGTGCGTCTTTCAGTTCCTGAGAAACCAAGGCACTCCCCCAGGCAGTGTTCAGACTGCCTGTGTTTCTCCGTGTTCCCTAGAAGTCAGAGAAGCATATAGAGACTTGACAGGACAATTAATCTTAGACATTAATCTTATATACCCTGTATAGCTTGCAAACATCGTTGCAGCCAGACAACTACAACTGTATTGATCCTAGAAATTTCCATTGTATTCTGTTTCTAACAAAGGTATAAAAACTGATTGCTTACAATAAACTTGTCTCAGCCTCAGTCTTGCTGAGACCCCTCTATCCCATCTTAATATGGTTTTCATTTCTCACCAACCATATCAAAAGACCCTGGCTTGGTAAGTAAGCACTGGCACTTACATTTAGGATCCCAGTGTAGCATCGAGCCTTTCTCCGGGTGAGCTTTTAAGCCCAAAAACCATATTCTGGGTTGACATATGTACTGGCTAGTTTATGTCAACTTGACACAAGCTAGAGTCATCAGAGAGGAGGGAGTCTCAACTGAGAAAATGTCTCCATAAGATCTTGCTGTAAGGCATTTTCTTAAACAGTGATCTGTGGGGAAGGGCCAGCCCACTGTGGGTGGTGCCATCCCTGGGCTGGTAGTCCTGGGTTCTATAAGAAAGCAGGCTGAGCAAACCATGGAAAACAAGCCAGGAAGCAGCATCCCTCCATGGACTCTGCATTAGTTCCTGCCTCCAGGTTCCTGCCTTCACTGCTTTTGATAATGAACTGTTAAACAGAACTGTGAGTGGAATAAACCCTCTCTTCCCACAGTTGCTTTGGTTATGGTGTTTTATCACAGCAATAGTATCCCTAACTAAAACAACGTACTCCGGTTAACAAGAACAGTTAGCCAAAAGCAGAACTATCAAAGCCAAGAGGGTTAGTACATTTAGAGACTTTCCCAGAACTATGGACTTTGATGAATTAGGTCCTTGTTTTCATTTTCGCAGATGATACTGTCTACGTGCTGAGTTTTATGGCCTGAATGGCACTTCCATCATGGAGTCAGTTGTGCTAAGGTCTCGGGCCCTGTGACCTTCCCCACTGGCCTTAGTGAACAAGTCAAATCATGGACTCATGCTGCTTTAGAGAGCTGTACTTGGTCCTAAGGAAAATTAATTTTACAGAATTGATACATAATTGGCCATACAGTTTAAGATGTAGGACTCTGCTGTTAATCCAGCCAGAATGAGAATTAAAGGCCCAGTCAGTACTGATATCAGAGCAGCTAGCCAGAAGGGTCAAGAGAATAGAGATTGGTATTGATTCTTTGATTTATGTCTGTCTCTTTTTCTGAGGTTTTCCCCAACCATGGCAAGATTTTCTCTAAATACTCCTGATCAATTCGCACAGAAGCAACTGGTTTTCCCAAAGCCAAACTTAGTCCTTTTTCTCAGGAGAAGTAGGGGCCTTTCCAATTTTGTAGGACCATTTTTGTAAGGGAATCTAACTGCCGTTTTAATTCAGAAATGGAAACTTTTAATACCACTAGATCCTGATCAACCTGTCTGCTTACTTGGAAAGCATCAGAAGAGACACATTTAGTCAAACCATTACATACCCACCAGTCTCAGGGGCTCATTAATTGGCTATAATCCACATGAATTAACTCATAAGGTATAACAGCAGACATCAGAATAAGGAGAAGTGTCTAGATGAAAGGTTTTGGATATTAGACAAGTTTCAGCCCCCTAACGTTAATCTGGGCTGTTCTCCCCCAAGTCACAATGAGTTTTGTCAGTCAATGGACTGACAGTCTGGTTAGTTCCTATCCCTATGTAGTATGTGGGCCATGGGTCTGAGCAAAATCAGCACTCCTGGCCAGTTTATGACTGGGAATTATTAACTAAGTGCTCAAGAGTGGAAATCAGGGACGGGGACCCCTCAGCTTCCTGGACATCATGAGGTGGGACTTTGGCCCTGGGTGTGCTTAGGACCCAAGGTCTGGGGACCTGGCTGGGGAGCAGTTTCTAGTAAATCTATCCCTAGAGTCCCTTCCTGTGGCATAGTCTAATTCCCCAGGTTTCTCAAAGGCCAGAAATTTTTTTAAGAAATTTTCCAGGAAGCCTCCATTTCACAACTCCAGTTTTTGTGATAGAAACTCACTTGTTCTCAGCAACTGGGGAGGTGGGGGGCAGCCACAGGGCATGCATAGAAGTGTAAACTCTGTATTCTTATCTCAAAAGATAAACTCCTCTATCTTTTCTTTCTCCAGTACAACCACACATTTAAAGTAGGCACCAGTGAACAAAGGTCAAGACGAATATGAGTTGCTAGTCTATAGTCACACTAGCTAATACCTTCCCTGTATCAGTCTTCCTTAGTTCCCAGGTCCAGTCCTGAGGATAGTGGGGGTTAGAACATAACCCTGTGTTAACAGCCAAGTGCAGGCCATCTCAGACACCTGCACTCAGGCCCATGGTCCTAATCATCCTCTCTATGTGGACCTGCTGGGTAAAGCCACGAGGAACCTGAAAACGGGCTCCCACAACAGCCCATGTGACAGTAGTGTCTGTGGCTTCTGCTTCCTGACCTGGGTGTGGTGGATCCATGATGTAATGCCAGCTATCTTCACAGCCATACGAGTGGGGAGAATCCCTGTGTAGAGTCCTTTTCAGGTGGGTTCTAGTACCCCTTTGGCTACGCATTGCCCCAGATGGTATCACTGGACTCAAACAAGGGGAAGTTGGTGGTGGAATTGGAGGCTGAGTCTCTCAGCTAGTCCAGTGAACTGGGGTGCCTCAAGAAAGGAGTGGTTAGAGAGTTCTGCCAACTGCTGGTCTGAGCCTGGGAAGCAGTGGGGGAGGCCTTCAAACATAATCTCATAGAGAAGAAATCCCTCCCTATATGGGGTGCAGTGGGCCAAAGCACAGCACAGGAAGAAGCTTTATTCACCCTTCATGAGAC